AAGATTTGAGTGTATGCAGCTGATTCAATGCTACTCTCTGGGTACTTGTATGTTCTTCTCATGAGGTTTAATACTTCCATCCTTTTGTGGTTGTTTGTTTTCATCTTCTGTGTGTAGAATTCCTTTCAGAATCTTCTGTAGTGGTGGCTTGATAGTCATCTATTGTCTTAGTTTCTGTTTATCATGGAAGACTTTTATTTCTCCATCAATTTTGAATGATAATTTTGCTGGGTAGAGCATCCCAGGACTGAAATTGTTTTATTTCAGTGCTCAAAATACATTACTCCATTCCCTGCTTTCTTTTAAGGTTTCTGTTGAGAAGTCTGCTATTTTGATGGGTTTACCTTTATATGTTATTTGTTTTTTCCCTCTTACAGCCTTCAATACTCGTTCTCTGTATTCTATGCTAGTTGTTTCAGTGATAATATGCTGTGGAAAGGTTCTATTTTAGTCAAGTCTGTTTGGTGTCCTGCAGGCTTCCTGTACTTGAGTTGACGACTTGTTCTCAAGATTTGGGAAATTTTCCATTATTTTGTTGTAATGTATTATGTATCCCTTTGGCTTGCTCCTCTTCTCTCCTTTGATGCCCATTATTCACAGATTTGGTCTTTTGATGTAGTTGCTTATTTCTTGTGTATTCCTTTTGCAGGTTTTGCATCCTTTGTCTAATAATTGTTCTGTTTTTTCTTTAATATCTATTTTGTCTTCAAGCTCTGAGATTCTGTCTTCCACTTGTTCTAGCCTGCTGGACTGGCTTTCAACTTCATTTTTTATTTGATTAGGGAATTTTTATTTCCAGAATTTCTGTTTGATTCTTTTTTGAGATTTTCCATAACTTTGTTAAACTCATCATTCATATCTTGTGCTGTTTTCTTTATTTCATATATCTCTTTTTTTAATAGTCTCCTTAGTTTCATTTTGGTGTTTGTTGAATTCCTCTCTTATTTCATTCAGTTGTTTCTGTGTCTTATGTTTTTTATTTGTGTTGTCTTTATATTCTTTGAGTTGATTTTTGTATGCTGTCTTTAAGCTTCTCTTGGAGCACCACCATGAGTACCACTGTGAGCTCCTTTTTGAGCATCTCTTTATGGGTCTCAATGAGCTTATTGGATGTACTTATCATCATTCTACATTTTTATTTGTGTTGTGTTGCTATTCTTTGAGTTCATCTTGTACTTTCTGTTAGGTTGTGTTGAACAGCTTCTCCATGACTATCTCAATGATCTCATTTATAATTTCCTCTTTGAGAAATTTTTTTATGGACATAATTTGGCTCATTGATCATAATTATCATCATTTTATTGGGGTCAGGAACCAGCTATTCATTTTCTTCTTTTCCCCCTAAATCCTCTATTAAATTGTTAATTTCTGGGGGATAGAATTTCCTGGCATCCTACTTCTACCCATGCTTCTATCATGTACTGTGCTCCTATGTTGTTGAGTGGCTAATTGGGAATTTTAATGACTTGCTCTCTCCCCTTTGACTCAATTACTGTGCTATGATAGGCTTACTCATTAGCTAGGTTGCTGTGCTATTTCTGTTCCCTGACTAGGTGATATAAATTAGCAGTAACAAATTCACTGACTCAATGCTAGACCAGTTATTTACAAAATATGTAGGGAGTCCCTTGATGATATAATCTATGTGTCATGGAGATTGGGTGGATAACAGTTATTTGGATAGATGTGGATTCTTAGGTATTGAAAGAGCTAGTGCTGGAGGAAGGGACAGAAAGTAGGGATGGGGTGAAAGGGGAGGCATGGAGGTTCTAGGATACTAAGTCTCTAGGGTGGTTGAGGTATAGTTCAGTCATTGTGGAAGAGGTGCTATTGTCAGTGATTGCCAAGGGTTAGGAAGGATGGGATACTGTGGAAAGTTGGTATAATAGATTATTCAGTGAGTGGTGCATATTGAGGAGGTTGAGGTGGTGGGGGTGGGGAGGGAAGAGAGGAAGGTGAGGGGGAAAGGAAAGGAGAAAAGATGGAAAGAGAAGAGAAAGAAAACAATGGAGTAGAAAAAGCAGAGTTGGGCAACAGAGCACTGACTGATTAGTATTAGAACAGAATGCAGAAGGGATGTAGGGATGTAGGTAATAGTAAGATGGAAGAAAAAATGAAAATTAAAGTTAAAATAAAAAAATTAAAAATTATAGATATAGATATAGATATATAACTTCAATCAATGCTCGACTCTCCTCTGATTTCAGGTTGAGGTGGTGATTCTTTTATTTTTTATAGGGGCTTTGGCCAAGATATTGTCCCTTCGTAAGGCTGGTATGTTGGGTTGTGTGGCAATCAATGTTGCTCTTCCCTATCAGACAGCTTTGGGGGGGCTCATCTATGGTTGTCTGAGCCTGGGTTTTCTTACTGGAGTGGAACCTCTGGAGCAGGTGGGTTCTCAGAAGTGGTCCAGTGAGCAGTTCATAGTGAGGGGTTGGTAAATGAGCAGTCACCAGCCCCTCCACACACAGGGCAAGCCTATGAGTTAGAGATGGACTTTTCTCTTGGTGAGACTCTCAGTTTCAGCTTACTCAAAATTTCTCCATGGCAGTGCAGTGCCTGGCTTTCCCCACAGCTGCTGCTGAGTCACCCCAACCCCACACAGGCTTATTCAGCTCTGCATTTAGCTCCCCTCCTCCCAAGGCAGAGGGAAAATATTCCCTCCATGTATTTGGCCACCAGTTTTGTCCAGAGAGGGTGCAATTGGCTCCCTAGCTGTACTACAATATGTAGCTCCCTCCCATACAGTGTGTCGCACTCAGCAAATTTTCTTGGTTGAAAATGAGCCAGCTACAGGGCAGTGCAGGCAAGCAGCAGATAGATGTTTTGTGTCTACTTGTGTTTGGCAGTCCAGGCCTTCCCCCATGCTTTCAGCTCTCTTTGAGAGGTTCTCTGCATTGCTTTATTGTTGAGGAGGTTGCAGATACACTGAGGCAGACAGAGATCTGTGCAGGCATGCAGCAGTGGGAGGTTCTGTGTCTGCTCATATTATGGCAGGTCTAGGTACTCCCAGATGCTTGCAGGTGTCTGTGGTTGTCTGTGTTGTGTTTTAGCTTACTGACCGAGGCAGGAAGGAATTAAGAGCGAGAGATATAGGAAAAAAAAGACAATAGAAAAAAAGCAGCAGATATCCCAGGGCTATCTGACCCTGCTCTCAGCTGTTTCCAGCCACCAAACTGGTAGGTGGGCAGGCAGCAGCTGGCTGGCCCTGCACTGGGCTGTTTTGCACTTTAAAAAGATAGTTTAAGGGTCTGTCAATGAATACTCTGTGCCCCTAAGTGTTGGTGGTATCTTGGCTGACAGAAAAAGCAGGATTACTGATCATTGCTGCCAGAAACATCTGGAGTATTTGTTTGAAATTGTTCAGGTCAAGGCCCCAGGGTTCATAAGCTCTTCACCATCTTGATTTTCTTCTCTTCCACTTTCTTTTTTTGTGTATGTGGACTGGGGCCTGAACTCAGGGCCTTCACATTGAGCCACTCCACCAGCCCTTTTTTTGTCATGGGTATTTTCGAACTAGTGTCTCATGAACTATTTGCCCGGGCAAACTTCAAACTATGATCCTGATGATTTCTGCCTCCTGAATAGCTAGGATTGCAGGCGTGAGCCACCAGCACTGGAATCTCTTCTATATTCTTAACAGTTTTTATGTTTTAATGAATTATGAACTTCCTAAGTGCAAAGACCTGAGTTCAAATCCCATGTCTCCAAAAAAAAAAGCAGTAAAAGAGTGACTGCTTTAATGCATCATGGTTCTTTACCACAGAGACAGTACAGTGATGGCACATAGGAATACCCAATACCCATGTGTTGGAGTGAATATTTAAAAGAAACAGGTTTTGTTAACCTGAAAACTTCAGGGAAAAATAGCTCATACCATTTCTTATGGATTCCATGAAATAATACATGTGGTGTGGTAAGCTCTCAATAAATGTCAGCTGCTGTTAATAATATGAAATACTGTTTACAAGCTTAAAGTACTTGTATCTTTGAAATATTCATAATATTTCTTTCAAATGATTACAAATATTATCAATTGCCATGGAGAATACCTATTTACCTATATTTCACAAGACAAGCATTCTTATAATTTCCTGAAAAATATCCCCAGAGACTAACAAATCCTCATTTAGTTTCTCCAGTACGACTTAGCAATGCTGGTAACAGGGAACTGTGTCTGAGAGTAAAGTTCTTTGTAGTCTTGACCTGGGACAATATGTGATAGGTTAATGGAGGTTGCAAGAGAATTTAGCATCTTATGAAGCTTTTCTCATTGAACTTGGTTGATATTTTCTCACAATCCTCACATGGAACTGGAGTGTTCCTTTATTTGAAGGCACCAACTGTCTGATGACCATACTGTATGAGGATATCTGATCGTCTAAGTGGCAAACTTCAAAACCAAATGACTAATCATTCTATATGTTGGGGAGTACTAAATAGTAAGCATAGTTTATCAGAACAAATATACATTTTTGGAGGTGAAAGCATTGTTAAAAACATATGCATCTTAGAAATGTATGGTAGAATATGAATCTATTAAAGAGTAATTACCATGGGGACAAGAGAAAAATTTTTATAACTATCTATGTCTTACTCACCTTCAACATACCTGGTTCAAAGCACTAGTTTTCAAATACTTACTTAGTAGATAAATGAAAATGAATTAACCAACTCATAGATTTCCTGATGATCATGTGATAATGAAACAATATTCTTTTTTGAGGATCTAGATTTATATATATCTATAATGATATTTGCTTCTTTATTAGTTAATAAGTAAGAATTAAGTATGCATTAATTCATTGACCCATTCTTTCAGTCAAAAAATAGTTTCTGTGCATTGTGTAATGTGGAAAGAAGAAGCAAAAGACACAATTTCTTACCACAACACAATTAGAATCTAGTTAAATCAATGTTAAATGATACTGTGCATTGTGATTTGGGATATAAGAGAATTCACTTTAATTAAGTATGCTAAAAACTATTTTTTATTCCAGCTTTCTGCCCTGTTATGCTGTCATGATGCATGTGGTGTGAGTGTCATTATAGGGGTGCCTCCTGATTCCCAAAGCCTCTCAATGGACCCTATGGCATTATTGACTGGACGCATCTGGACAGGAGCACTTTTTGGTGGTATGTAGTCATTCTTGAACACCAAATTCTTATTAAGTTCAGAATTTCTTCCTTTTTACAAAAAACAGGCTGGGTTTTGAAAATCTATGTAGGAAAAATAAATTAGAATTCCTGTTGTAGTCTTAGGCTACAAGTCAGCTAGATATGGAACTAATGCAGAGAGAAAGTCCCAAGACAAACTTTTCTGTAGTTCCCATATGCTATCTAGGACCTTTCAACTCAGCTGTTTTTAAGCTTGTGACTTTGTAAGGCACCTAGTGTGCAAATTTGGATACTGCTGAATTTGGTCTTTGATTTTGGGCACAATCATCTATGCTATAATTCCTCTATGAAAGAATGAGAAGCATAGGTCTAGCTGAGGACCCTAATTTATGGCAGGATTAAAAAGCCAAAGCATTGCAAAAGGGGTTTGGAAGCACTATGTCACTTACTGACCTCAACAACAGCAGTCTGTGGAATACTGTCTTTTTATAACTTTCATTTTAATTTTATTGGAAAACCTTCTCTATAATTCTTTTACTTACCATTGACTAAATCTATCAATTATGTTCACTTATTTTCAGGGTTTAAGAGCAAAGATGCTGTTCCCCAACTTGTGGCTGATTTTATGGCTAAGAAGTTTTCATTGGATCCATTAATAACCAATGTTTTACCTTTTGAAAAAGTTAATGAAGGATTTGACTTGCTTCACTCTGGAAAAAGGTAAATTTTAAGTTTCTTTTTATGACAGGGGATGGAGGAAGGATGAGAAAAAATTGGAGTTCCTTAATTTCCCATTGCAAATTTAGTGTTTGCATGTAGAAGGTCTAAATCACATTCTGAGAAGTTAAGCATGGTTGTCTTAAGATTTCCTATCCTCTTGGACTGTGTAGATCATATCAAACCTGAGTGATCAGAATGATGCAGTCTTCTTTCTAAGAGAGCACTCGCCTCTGTCAGAGAGAGTGTCACACACAGGTTACTCCAGAGGCACCTGCACACCCATGTTTATTGCAGCACTATTCACAATAGCCATGTTATGGAAACAGCCAAGATGCCCCACCACCGATGAATGGATTAAGAAAATGTGGTATCTATACACAATGGAATTTTATGCAGCCATGAAGAAGAACAAAATGTTATCATTAGCTGGTAAATGGATGGAATTGGAAAACATCATTCTGAGTGAGGTTAGCCTGGCCCAAAAGACCAAAAATCGTATGTTCTCCCTCCTATGCAGACATTAGATCAAGGGCAAACACAACAATGGGATTGGACTTTGAGCACATGATAAAAGTGAGAGCACACAAGGGAGGGGTGAGGATAGGTAAGACACCTAAAAAATTAGTTAGCATTTGTTGCCCTTAACGCAGAGAAACCAAAGCCGATACCTTAAAAGCAACTGAGACCAATAGGAAAAGGGGACCAGGAACTAGAGAAAGGGTTAGATCAAAAAGAATTAACCTAGAAGGTAACACACACACACACAGGAAATTAATGTGAGTCAACTCCCTGTATAGCTATCCTTATCTCAACCAGCAAAAACCCTTCTTCCTTCCTATTATGGCTTATACTCTCTCTACAACAAAATTAGAAATAAGGGCAAAATAGATTCTGCCGGGTATTGAGGGGGTGAGGGGGAGAGGGAAGGGGTGGAGTGGGTGGTAAGGGACGGGGTGGGGGCAGGGGGGGAGAAATGACCCAAGTCTTGTATGCACATATGAATACTAAAATAAAAAAAAAAGAGAGTGTGTCACAGTCACACAGTCATCATTATAATATTGAGTCAAGGAGGCTTATGTGTGGCCACTAAGGCTGATGGTTAATGACTGTAAATTAAAATTATATTCAAGGCATCACCAAAGCACTAATATAGGAAAAGTTAGAAACAACTGGGGTCATTTTCTATGCAGATACTACTAGTTTTTCCATAAAAATACCATTATTGTTATTTTTCACAGTTTATAATGAATTTTTTTACAAACAAGAGTTATAATAAAGAAGGGTACAAGTGGTATTTTAAATATTTAAACTATTTGATATTTCAAATATTAGGGGAAAAGGCACCTATCTCTAATATATAACACAAGCACCTAATTGGATGAATTTTGCCACTTACATTTAGTAAAGTACTAGTTAAAACTAATCCCACCTTCTGTCTTCATTGTCTATGCATTTTTCTGCTACTCTTACACTTCTTCTCCTGAGGTTTTAAACTTTAAATGCTACTTCTTATGAACACACAAAGAATATTATATTAGATACTTCATTGACAAACATTCTTGAGAAAGGAAAGAAAATAGCATCCACACAGCACCAGCTGCTCCACTAACGGTCTCACCTGCATCACCTCATGTAATTCCCAAACAATGCTGTTTGCTGGTCCCAGTTTCTCTATCTTAGGAGGAAAACTAAGTTTCTGAGAGAGCATGACTTGGTCATCACTCAGGTAGTAGGCAGGGGAGGCAGAAGTCCAGGTTAGATGTGGTTTTTAGCAAAGTTGATTTTCTTTCTATGAAACTACACTTCCTTTCAAGAACTCAAGAGCTATGGGACACCGAGGTTATCAGAGTAGCAGCATCATTGTTGTCATCATCATCATCATCAGGTCGAAAAGTATGAGGGCAAATATAGAGATGCTCAAAACCAGAGGTACTTTTGAGCAGCAAATGAATTTATTAAGCATGTTAGAATTGTCTTTATGAGAACACCTTACAGTGAATATAAATACTTACATAAAATTATCCTTATTAATAACCAGATTGGAAATTGTATTAGTTAGCATTGTTAAGCACATGATGACATGGGCAGTTTCACATACTGCTATGAGGAAGATTCATTGTTATACCTCTTGGGAAAGTAATTTGACCATTTGTATCAGAAACTTAAAAAACCTAGAATCTTTGTACTAGTAATTCTATTTCCAAATGTCTATTATACAGATTTACATATGAAAACATACATATATGTGTACACATATTTCCCTGTTATGTGTTATATTAAAATTAGAAAAAATCCTGGAAGTCTAACATTAAGGAGATGAAAATACCAATCACATTTTAGAAATCAGTGAGGGCATTTTAAAGTGGTTTCATTAATTGGGAAATTCTCCTGATGTCACTTTAGGCACATAAAATATAGAATACAAGCTTTAGTATACAATATGACCCTAGATGTCCAAAAAGAAGAGAAAAAAATGTACATATATCTAAAACATTGATAACAATTCAAGAAAATTTTAATGGTTAACTCTAAATTGTAGAATTACAGGTTATTTTTACTTTCATCTTTATATTGTCCTGCATTTTCTAGATTATCTACATATTTTCTTCTATGTGTATAAATACATGTAAAATGTGTAAAAAGGTATGCAGATCATTGTTTTCTAAAGGTGTTTATCCATTATAAAAAGACTTTTAGAAACAGAATTAGTTCCAGTATAAATGTTACATTTCTAATCGTCCTCAAAATGAAATATCCTAGAATTAATACTAATAAAGTTCATTATCATCCTCTAAGAATTCATTAATAATCTCTGTGTCAAAGCTCTACTAAACCTTTAACATGATCTTAACTTTACTAAACAATCCTTTCTATCAGGCAAGTTATCTATCACCTTGAATCAGAGTTTGAATTCCAACACCTACCCCATAGGTAGATGTGTGGCCGAGGGCAAGTAACAAATGTTTCAATTTGTAAATTCTCTAAAATGGAAATAATATTAAAGTCTACTTCATAGTTCTGTTTTCTAAGTTGAGGTTTATACATGATGTTGGAAAGCATTTACTAAGTACAGGATAAACAGCAAGAATGTATTACGTGATTTTTATTCATTGTATTTTAGTTTAGCTTAGCTTATTTGTTGGGTCTTGAATTTTAACTCAAAGCTTTGCACTTGCAAACCATGTGTTCTAAATGCTTGATACACAACTCCAGTTCATTTTACTTAGGGGTTTTGGAGATGGGGTCTTGCAAACTATTTTTGTCTGGACTGGCCTGGAACTGCAATTTTCCCTTCAGAGTAGCTAGGCTGAGTTGCTGGCAGCCTATATTTCTTATACCAGGCCTTCAGGTTTTCAAAAAATGTCTTTTAAAAGATGCTTATGATGCATGGAAATTTAAATGGAAATCTCACATATTCTGAGTGAGTTTAAGATTGGAATAAACCCAAGAGAGAACCAGAAAAGGATGGGTTGCTCTTACATTGACATGACCTTCATGCATAGGGATGGGAATATTGTGTCTGAGAATAAGGTAGACTTTAACAGAGAATTATCAAATGTTTCATTTACTTACATGGAGAAAGTGAATTGTGTAAATGTTAAAACAACATGTTCTCTGTCCTATTTCAGTATCCGTACTGTCCTGACATTTTGAAACCATACTGATGCCTTCCCTACCAGCAGTTTTTTGACTCCTCCATGCCACAGCATCTGGAGAACCTGCCACCAAGAATTCTGTTCTTTAGAGATGTGATCAATAAATTACTGGTGCAAGCTTCCAAAAGAAACAAATCTCCATGAAGTGGTTATTCAATCAAGCGTGTAAAATCCAAGTGAGAGTAATTGAACACCAGCTGGGAAACTGAGGTGTTCAATTGAACTAAGCTTTCCTTCTTCATCATTTTCGTCACTTTTCCAATTGAGGAAAGATATCTGTGTAACTTTTTTCTTTTTTTCTATCTTTTTAGTTACCAGTTACTCAAGGAGGGAAACTTCTTTGTCCAACATACACGTGACAGGCTACTGTGCTTGAAGCTTTCTGCCTCTAACTATGTCTCCATTTGATGTTTTTTTCCTCTTCATGAAATGTATCAAAGCCCTAGGATAAAAGCCACCGCACAGTAAAGGAGAGCTCTGGTAGATCCGAATTTAAAAGCAGAGAGAATTGGGCCAGGAATGGACCCAGTGCTGGAGTGGTTGCCATGATACGCAGGGCCCTGGGATCAATGCCCAGCATTAAAAAAAAAAAAAAGATGAGCCAGAATTTCCAGAATTTCTAAATCCAAGGTGTTTCTTAGTAACTCAAAGGGAATGTCGCACATTCCCATGCAGTGAGCTGTTTTATATAACCTTATTGGCAGTGAGTATATAAGCGTTCTTCTAAAGAAAGCAAGCATCCTGCTTTATGTGGTGATAACTCTGAAATACTTCACACCTCCAGCAATCATTCACAGACAACACAGAGTAACAAAGATGAACTCTGAATCAATTACATATGTACTAATTTCACACAAGATTCTCTGGGACTAGAATGTTATCTTGACAGAATTACTAGAATATTACCCAAAAGTTAAAGTGAGAGCCAGTCTGTATTTAACAGATACATACTTCCATGCCTGATTATTCAGGGTGGTTAGGAAATGATTGTTGCACTTCTGACACTCTATTAAACCTCTATTAAACATTCCTTGAAAATTTAAGCTTTACAGTTTCATCAAGTTACATTAAACTCTGTCTACCAAATACCTAGAAATAGTAAGGAAGAGCCCTTGGTATAATAAGAGAAAAAAATGCTGAGACAAAAATAAAATTAGAATGGGAGAAGAATTGCTGGGGACATGTACTATTCTGACTAGATGAATGCTCAGGTATGTGGTCTTACATTTCTTTTTTCATTCACCTAAGACTTGGGATAAGAAGACCATTTGCAGAGCACTCTCACCATTAAGACAACCCAGAAGTTGCTAATAACTCATAAGGCTAACTTAGATCAAAGTTTTTTGAGAGGGAAGAACTGGTTTCTGCATCCAGGCTTGCTCCTTGAAGTATTTGACATGTTAATAAATAACATAGGAGCATTATTATCAAAGAGAGCAGGTAAGAGAGATCTCCAGATAATTCCTACCTACATACATGTAAAGATATTTCTCACTCAGAAAGCAGCAATTCACAGATCTCTAGATGTCTCACTGAAATATAACTACAATTTTGAAGCAAAGATATTTTTAGTTGGTTGTAAATGTAAATAATGACTACCACCTCAGTGTCACCATGTTGCAGGGAGAGTAGGAGGAAGATGGTGTGAAATAATTTAAAGAATAAGGATTTCTTCTGAATATGAATCCAAGCCTCAAGGAAATAAAACCTAGAGGGAATCCCTTTGTCAACAGAAGGGAATTCAGAGACTTTTGATTTTATTTTTTTCTTTACAAAATATTCAAACTCCAGAGACTAGCAGGAAGAGTTTGGAGGGGCTGGTGGCCATTTTTTCATATTTGCTGCCTCTTCTTTCTTAATGGAATTTCACAGAATATGCTCCTTGATCTGTGAGCACAAGAGAGATATGAGGCTCTCTGATCTCTTCTGCATCTCCCCAATAGTTTATAGGAAAGGAAGCCAGTGAAAAGGGGGAAGAAATAACAATTATCTCCAAAACTAGTACTTCAGGGAGAGTGGTGTTGCTTAATGGAGAGTGGCAAGATTTCATTCTGCTGTTAGGTTACTACCTAATGTAAATGTTTAATCCTAAATTTAAAGTGTGAGGAGGGATTGGATAAAAGGAAAATTGAGGGAAGGCACTCTAGACCAAGCATTCAGAATGAGAAACCAAAACATTTTAGGAAATGCAAACATTTAAGTATTGATATCCTATAAATTTCACAATGGGAAATATCTGGAGTCATATAAGAGATTTCTGAGCTCCTCGAAAGAAGTTTAGATTATATGTTCTGGGAAATGGGTGCTCCATTAAAATGTTTCTGAAGAGACTGATGATGTGGTCAGATTGGCACATTAGAAATTAATTTTTGCAAGCCTAGGAGAGGGAATTACAGGTGAAGAGGAGGACACTAAGAATGAGCATACAAGGAATCAATGAAACAAAAAGTTGGTTCTTTGAAAAAATAAGTAAGATTGACAATTAAGTAACTTAACTAAATGGAGAAAGAAGACCAGAATTAATAAAAATCAGAGGTGAAAAAGGGGATATTACATTATAGGCACTAATGAAATTCAGAAGCTCACATGGGACTATTTTAAAAACTTACACTCCTCTGAACTGGAAAATGAAGAAATAGATAAATTTATTGACACACAGGATCCACCAAAATTGAACCAAGAGAACATTAACAACTTAAACAGAGCTATAATAAGTAAATAGATTGAGGCAGTTATAAAGAACCTCCCAATGAAAAAAGTCCAGGTCCTGATGGATTCACTGCTGCATTCTACCAGACTGCTAACCAGAACTAAAAAAGCAGGTTTCCTGAGTGGGAGGAGAGTCTCTCACGATCTGTGTGTTTGATATCCCTGATTATTCTCGTTCCCTGTGGTCATGCATTGGCATCTGCACATTTGAAGAAGTACTTATTCCAGTTTTCACAGATTGGCTTTTTCTGGGAAAGCCCTTTAACAATAAGTCCTTCCAGAGATTCTGTCTGGTATAGACCATGGAAGGGCTTCGTTCTGGAATCATGAACTGGACAGCCTGTTGCCTGGTTCACCATGTAAGCGGGCTTCTAGTCTGGATTCACTTGAGTGATCCTTCGATTATATCTTTAGAATCCGGTCTCCCCAGGAACCAGTCTGAAGCCCATGTTCACTAGGCCAGTGTGGTACTAGGGCAGGTCTGAAGCTTGGGGCTACTGGGCCATTGCAGCGTTGGGACAGGACTTTTGCGTGGTGGGGTGGTCCTGAAGTGGACTAGATTGGAGATTGAGTTCACCCTGGAGGCCTGTAGACTGGAAATGTGGGATCTGGGATGGGAGACTCAGTCCACAGGTACACTTTGAGGCAGGTGGGGACCTTACAGGTGCTGAGTTTTACTATGGTAGGCACGATATTGTGGTCCAAGGCAAAGTACTGTGGTCTCTCCCCTCTCTCTGCCCCACATAGGTGCTGTCTCTTCACGTTGTCCTGCCTGGGCGTGGAGGGATGATTTGGAAAATTCAAAACTCTCCTACCTACTCCCTTCAATGCCCTTTTCCTAATTTACGGTATTGTAATCCCTGTTCTGTTTTCTTTAGCACTTGTGAAGGTGTTTTTATGTGTCGATAATTGTTCAAATATTTTTCTGTATTTTGTGACAATTGTTTGAGAGTCTTATTCTACTATTTTTCCCATGCTAGATTTCTTTCTACTCAGCATTTGTGTACTTTCTTATTTGTGCTTTTCCTGAACCATTTTGGATGGTATGACTTTTTTATAATTTCATTTATTTCCATTTTGGCTAATTAATTAAAACTTTTGAGTTTTTAAAAAGTTTAGTGCTTGCTCTACAATTTACAACATACACACTTTTTACAGTCTATCTTCAAATAGCATTACATCACTCAACAAAATGTATAAGAATGTTCCATTTTCTTCCTCATTCTTTGTGTTATTGTCAAACAGTTTATTTCTAAAAGTGGTGTTATAAGGCTTGCTCTAAACAGTATCTTTTAAAGTACTTTTAAACTGTCTTAGCATTTTTTTTCCTCATTTATCTCTGTAGGGTCCATTTTCCCTAAAGAAACTCTTGCAACATCTTTTGCCTTAGAGGTGTGTTTGAAATAAATTCAGGTTTTATTTTTCTAACAATTACTTTGTCTCCATTTTTGAAATGTATTTTCACTGAGTGAAGAATTATGGGTGGGCACATTCTTTTCAATATTTTTTTGTCTTCTGGCTTCTATATTTTCTGATGGGTAGTCTGCAATAATTGCTACCCTTGTTTCTCTACAAACATTTTTATTTTCTCTGTCTTCCTTCAATATTTTCCTCATCTTTAATGAGCATGATTAGGATGTGCATGGTGAGTGTTAGTACAACTTCAGACTAATAAAGATAAATAGAAACTCTTAAAAGCTTCTGAAGACAAGTACAAGAATGAGGATGAGGGAGGAAGGGGCAGAGGGACAAAAGGGGAAGTGAGTAATGTGGGCAAAAGTTAAAGAATGCAAGCAGCCATGGAAGGTGAAAAGGTAAGGAAAGGAGACTTTTCCAGAGCCTCTGGAGAGAGTAATACTCTATCATGATCTGGGTTTAATACCAGTCATACAGACTTCAGACTTCTGAACTCCCAAACAGAAATAGAATAAACTGGTGTAGTTTTTTTCAATTATTAAATGTTTGACAGTTTATTAAATTAAATAAGCTCCAAAATTACATACAAATCAAAAGAGTAAGAAACAAAAGTAGTTATTCAGGAAAATGTCTCTGCAGCAGCTAGAAGCACTGTGGCTTAGGTTCCTGCACTGGTGTGGCAAGAGGACCTGTGGATTGCCATGCTTACTCCTCGGGGATAGCTAGGCGGAGACACATGTCTACCCTCCTACACTGACTTTCCAGAACAGTCCAGCTCTCATCCATTGCCATCTCATTCACTACCACTTTTTACTTATAGGAAACACATCACAATGTACATACTAATAAGCCAAGAGCTTTATTGATGCAGCA